AATAAAAACATCAGATTAAGACGTTTAGGATAACAGCCACTTCCCTGCTTTAAAATTCAATTACTTTTAAAGTGGTCGACCCTTTTCTCCTATAGTGCACTTGCACTTCTTCAAAAAGAGAAAACTGGCGTAAACTTTTTGAATACATTTTACAATTGATAAAAGGATGGTTTGTTTACATAAAGTTGAAAATATGTATGATGCATTTTTGCCCTTAGACAGGGACAGATTCTTTCTACAGAATCTGCTTATGTTAACATTTAATGAGCGTTTGGAGACTGTAAAACAGGCAGTTTGTGCATCTGTATTTCATTTTATTTTCCTGACAAATAATATTTAAGACTGGTTGATGTTTGAAATGTGCCCAAAGCATTCAATGTTCACGTTTAGACGTTTTAAGCACAAAACATCAATTGTAGACTGTGTTAATTGCGTTCGCATCATTAAGAGCTCCATGAGAGCTTTTCTATATAATAAACGAAGAGCTTTGTTCATGTTTACAATTTCTTCAGATCAAAATCCAAGTCATTAGTTATGACGCCAGTTATGACGTGTTTGTATGTGACTAAACAGTGAAAATTGTAACTAAATTGCATGGAGCACATCTATCAAGGACTTGTATGTTTTCTAAAATCAGTGAGATGTATAGATATTTGGGCATCTACAGATTTATGAGTGTATGTAAAACTCCTAACAGCTTATATAAGCGCAGTATTGGGTGTACACAGGTGATTGATGAATACACTGAAAAGCAGCAGCAAGTTTCCATCCCATCTAAACTTTTCCTTGACCACAAGCGTCTGTCACCAGTTCAAGAGAGCTTGAGTGTGGCTGACAGATATATAAATGGTTATAAATGTTCCCTGAGCACCATGTTGAAAAAGTGTTTAATGTCGGAGTGAATGATCCTAGACCTCCCTGGATTCAGCCACATTAAAAGGACACTTGAGCATCCCCAAACAAATACAGGGAGATTGGTCCACATTTTTGTCATTTCATGATATTTGAAAACGACTTCTTGTAAACTTCAGCCAGTGTGAATGCAATCAATATGAGATGAGTTAGGTCTGTGTTTCAGAAAGCCTTTTGTAATTTTAGCTGTGTGTACAAACATTTGATGATTGAAAAGCAAGAGCTCTATTATAGTCACACACAGATGATTGGATCTTATACCAGCTTGTAACTGTATGGGCAAGTCTGCAGTTACTCTCTCTTTTGGTTCTGTCAAATTCTTACATGCTTTTCCCTCAGACCACAATCATAATACATACATAAACCAACCTGCACAAAAATGTGTACTCAAGCCTGTGCATCTGCAAACACCAAAATGTTATCAATGGAAACAATAGATGCTTGACAGAGATACTAATGCCCAGATCTCAACACATACCCACTTGTTATGTCTTCCACCAAGTCAGTGGGCTATACATTATGCCAGCTGCAAATGGAAATGAATTAATAACAAATTAAACACAGCCAGTACATTACAGCATAGCATGCCTCAGGGCACCTAAACAGGAAACAGTGAAACAATTAGACTTTTGTTTTGTTCTGACCTCTGTTTTTTTTTGTTCTTAGCTGCTTAACAGGATGAGCAGTGAATACCAAGTGTTTATCTAACTGCAATCAGTAGTACTGTACTTCCCTGGTCAAAGCAGGGATCAGATCTATGTTCTATACATTCAAAATAACAGTTAACAAAGCTGCAGCCTGCACCGACCAGGGATGCATGGTGTATGTACAGGAGTGGTCTCAAAAATGCGGACCGTGGGTCATTTGCGGCCCATGGGCCACATGGAAAAGGTATTTTGTGGCCCCCTCTTGGACATCCAACAAAGTCTGTGCAAATATTCAATAAAACAGTAAAATAAAACTGATACTTTTGCCTTAAGTTACATTGAGTAACTGTATCCAGAACACATTACTCTTTCTCATGCTGGTTTTCAGAATACACCTCTCTTCTACTGCTACTGATCTCTGTTTCTGAAGCAGAAGTCAAGGCAGCAGGTCATGATCAATGTTCAAATGATGTGAAATGTTTTGTTGCAACATCGATGACTACATGCCAATGTTACCGCTGTTAAAAGGATGTGTAATAATTATTTCCAACTAATCTAATTGTAAGTAATTGTTACAAAGTTTATTTTTAAAGTTAAAGTTTATTTAGTTACTCAGTTACTTACTAATTACTGTATTTGTGACTAAATTACATGCAACACCGGTGATAACAGACAGCAATACAGCATCCTAATTGCTGCTCTAAGTGCGATGGAGGGAATTTTTTGTGGGTTTCTTTTCCACTTTCATTGATGTGTTTGAAGTGTCTCTTTTATCTGCTGGTCCTTGTGGCTGTTGTCTTTTGTAGTGGTGCGTCCTGCCCTCTGAGCTTCTCCAACATAACAAAGGTGCCGGCTGCCCTGTGAGAGGCAGGCACCAGGAAACATCCACACACATGTATTTGAGCAAAATGCCCATACACAAGATCTAATCACAAGCGGAGTGTAGAAAATACATTTCCCATCATGTGCTCTGTGTGATTGTTAAACATGTATTTGATGTTGGGTGTTTTACCAAGGGCTGTAGCTGTGGGTAAATATAGAAAGATGTGGATATGAAGAAGGATATATATGCTGTATTGGGCTCTGTAGAGTTTAGCCATTTAATACAAAGCCATTATAACCAAAGCCTCATTTCCAAGATCTTGTGTGTCACCCATTCAGAGCTCGAGTGTCTTTGTTTGGGACAGGGCAGAAGTCAGAGGGGCAGCAGCAGCAGTCTGGCTGGCTCCCGGCTGGCTGTGTGAGGATGTGTGTCTTAAAGAGTGTGTTGAGAGGAGAGTGAGAGCGTGGATCGTCTCCATGTCTAATCAGCAGAACACTTGTGTGTCCCCGTCTCATAGTCTCCTGGGCCTCTCAGAGAAGAGGCCCTCCACTCCAGCAGCACACCTCCAGAAATGCTGACGGATGACTCACTGCTCCAACTCTGTCCAGCACATTTCAGGACACAGGAAAAAGTAGTTTTGCATGATACAAAGATGACAGAAAATCTAAACTCAAAAGTTGTTATAAAGGCATGTTTAAGTTTGTCTCTGCTGTTGAATTAGAAACAACATAAGTATTTCAGTGACAAAGATCTCACTGCTCTGAGCAGTTGGCACATCCCGTCAATTCTCTGCGTCCCATGCAGGCAGTGTTTCCATCTCCTCCATTACTGGCAAGGCTTCCAATCAATAATTCAATAGTTTTGGCGTCTTAATCCAGCCTCAAACACTGAGTCAAATACAACATGCAGACTTATAGGCGATGTAAGCAGTAACCTTTTAATTAATAGCCCAACTAACACTGTTTTATTAGGAATTATCAAAGAGATTACATGATTAGCTCAAGTATTCTATAAAGCATTTAAAATAAAGTAATAAATCTGAGGCAATTTTTAGGCTTCAAGCTAAGTCAAACAACATCATGTATTATTTTTATGGGTAAGATGAGATCGACTGGCGAGTCTCCATAGCGGAATATCTAACGGTGCAACCAACAAGCTACATAGCCCGAACTGTCACTAAATAATAACAATAACAATTATCAATATAATTATGCTCGATGCTGACATATCAGACATACTTTCTATGTATTGTACTTTCTCTGTAATGTCAATGACAAAAACAGTTCTATTTATTCTAAAACACAAAAATAATCATCACCATAAATGTGCCAAGTATTTTCTTTTCAGTTAAGTTGCACTTTAGCGCGCACACATCTGCTAGTTTCATAAAAGTGTCTACATAGCGTATTTATCAAGCTTTTAATTAACGCTAGGCAATTACGCAAAGCGTTTTTGTTTTACTTTTACACAGTCGAATGGCCGTGTGTTTTATCTGCCTGTTGGCCTGTCCATCTGCTTGTAGTGGAAATGAGCAAAGCTCCTCTCCAAACGCTCTATAACCAAACTATGAATAATGCATTGATTTGGAAGCAGAGCAGCAAGAGAGCCATGTTTCCCACTAAACGGGCCTGTCACCAGCGTGACGTTATCAAAAGCCCGACATCTACTGCCTAAATTATTAACATGCATTGCTTTAAGCACAATACTAATATTACACATAAACAAAAATAATCATAATAGACTAATTTAGAAACGTACTTTATTACAGGAACGAAAACATTTTGTTTTTTTATGAATTCACGTTTCACAGAAAGTCGGACAAAAACAGTGAAATGAAATGTCTTCTGGATATCGTGCCTTAAGTTACTTCCACTGTCTTACATTGAAATCACTAAGGCTACACATGGAACAAAAATAGAATAAAATGAAGAGTCCCGTGGGGTGTTTTGTAACCTCTAAGTGATAAAAAAGTATGTTTTGTGTGTATAAACATATTGTACACATTCCCGCACTGGTGCGTCCTGTTACTGCATGGCACATGGGGCCTGCTTGTCTTGAGCGCGAGGACGTGAGTCTGCACGGATGGGACAGGAGCAGGAGCGCTCCAGGCCAAAGCCAAAACTGGAGCACAGGAGAGGAGTAAACACAGAGGCGCAGAGCCGGGGATAGGACACGCACGCTTTGTGTCTGCGCGCGTGTATTTGTATTATCTTTTTAGAACGCAAACATTTGAAATACTGCTTTTACACTCTGTTCAGTCACTCAGTCACAGAGAAACCAGGATCATGAAAAAGACGAGGCCAGCCTCTATATCGATTCAATAAAACACCAATAACAATGATTAAAGAGAACAAGTGCAGAATGATTCGTCTGTTTGACAAAGAGCCCATCGTCCAGCTGCATGTTCTCTTTAGGACTGTCCCAGGTCCTATAGTGGCTGTGGGGCCTTGGCACCACAAGAACGTGTATCGACGTCCCATAACAAGTTATGGTAGGCTACAGTTTCTTTTTTGTTTCATAAATAGCCTATCTATACATAATACCATTGTCCTTCATTTGAAGCAAACATAAATACGGTCCTTGGATAATCGTCGCAGCGCATCTGCTCGCATTCGTTGTCACAGTCCCAGTGCAGCCGCGTGCTTTTTGGCCTTGAGCCTCAGATCTGCGATGCTTGAGTTTTTGCTGGTGTTCTTGGCTGCGGCGGCAGCGGCCACTACGGAGGCCGCAGAGGCCGACTCTGCCAGCGTGGCCAAGGGCAGTCCAAACGGGGGTGCAGGGAACATCATGTAAGGCGCATGCGCGGCCAGGTGAGAGTGCAGGTGGTGTTGTGCGTGGGCTACGGCACTGTCCAGCTGCAGTTGCGCCTGCACCTGAAAGGAGAAGGGCGGCACGTTGCAATGACTATCCTACAGGACGAGACGCACGGATGGGGAGAGAAGGGGGAGAAGACGCGTTAACTTTACAGTGACTGTTGTGATGGGTCATTCAGGCCTATATAATCATTATGAAATTAATCACAGGTTTTTTTTAATCAAATGGAACCTTTGAAGAAAACCACGGCTGTGAAATGTGAGCCATGAGTTCCTCCAATTGCTTTACTTTGTTTACCATATAAATTATAAATAAGGTAAAATGCAAGTATCATCAGAGACAACAAACAGGCTGTTGTTGCCCCTGTTAGAACTTAGGCTACTGCATTGCACTCACAGCCAGTGCCAAGACAACAGTCAGGGGATTGGTGTGGCTAATAAGCTTCAAAAGAACTTGCCTGTTGGAATGGCATCCGTAAAGCCCCGACGTTGACATACGGTGCTACGCGGCAGGCTTCAAACTGATTCGCTGCTCCAATCAGGACTCCTGACGAAAGAAAAAAAGAACATGTTGGTCTGTATAGCATAAACAAGCACACGACTTACACATTTCAGTATATCAGTCTTTAATAATGTTCCAATTGTCTGCGTAAAGAAGGAACGACATGCGCTGGCCTACATTGTGGTATTAGACAAGGCCTACCTTTATGAAGCTGATTTTCCTGTTTTCTGCATTTGGCTCGTCTGTTCTGGAACCAAACCTGTGGGGATACGGATTCATTAGATTCCCACTGATTTGCAGCTGTTTCTGAGGCCGAGCTGCGTCTTCAGTGACAACAACAGTGGGTTCAAAAAATATATATTCAAGGAGCGCTCAAACATTGATGACGCCTCTTAACCTTGAGTTTAATCACTGCATTTTACGTGCTACATGGCTACAACACAGGAGCACAAGGGCTGCTGCCGGTGTGGGAAAGCAAGGAGAGCCACAGAAGGGTTACATTCAATTCTTGTCGGGTGAACAGAAGAAACCCCCTTGTTGAGATGTGCAGGCCTACTCGGACTATAATAAATAACCTTGTCACCGTGGGTTTCATCTTTCTATAGATTTGTGTCCCCGAAGAGTTGAATGGACTCTCAGATATCGAATAGCAGCAAAGCTATTACGGTTTGGGACATCAGAGCAAGGCGATCTGAGACTATCTCCCTCGTTCTCTTTCCATTTCTCTCATTAAATGACCGCTGAAATTAATTACCCATATCAGCTGAAAATCCATGTTGGTGAAACGCTTAAACGGTTCGCAGTTGTGTGTAATCATGGCATCAGGCGCGCACACACAGAAACGCTTCAAACGAGTCACTCGCGTTAACATCGACTTTCACAGGAGCCGAGATTGAACCGCGCATGACTCTGATAATCTGCTTCGGATTTCAAAGAACAAACTTGAGCATAATTAGTCTGCAACATGCCAATCTCCATTTACATTAGCTCAGTGCGCAGTGGATTGAAATATCATATCGATTTGTCTGTCAACTGGCTTCATTTATTGACCACAAATGATGTCAATCGGAAGTCCTTTGTGCATGCCTGCAGGTATACTTTATGACTTTAATAACTGCCAAATCCGTTATTGATTGAAATAAAAATAAACAACAACAAATAAACATAAAGCCCTTTTGTGAATTGCTGCATAAAGGAAAGATATCAGGATTTGATTGAAGATAAAATGTATGCAAATCCCTGTGCGCATGGGACACAATGCGCTTTTTGGGGACATTCCAGATTGAGACCAGGGAGCCCTGGTTACAACTCTTTTGGTTTGGTTTGATTTTAATTTTGAGAACTTTAGGTTTCTATTTGTTAACACTTTAAAATGCCCACATGAGCATGTCTTGTATCGTGAGTAAAACACAAAAGACTGAATTAAGAAAATGTTTAATAAGATAGCTGTTTGTTCTGTGTGCCATCATGGCACTGCACAAGCCTCCTGACTCCAGCCATACTCGGTTTCAGCACAGATGGTCCATCGATAACAGATCTGACAACACATTCCTTCTTAACATTTTATGGGTTTCAGCAACATTTAGAGTTTGAGCTTGGAAATATGGGCCTATATTATGTTATCAGCCTCTATGATCTTTTGTCATTGTTGAGCAAGTCTTAGTTTAATTGTATTGTAATTGTATACGTAATAGAGATAAATACATAAAATAATTGAAACATACCTGTACCCGGGCCTCTGATAGTCCAAGCCGCTGGCTCAGCTCCTCCCGCATGAACGCGTCTGGATAGTGCGTTTCATCGAACAGTCGCTCCAGTTCGTTTAGTTGTTCTAAAGTGAAGTTAGTCCGACTTCTTCTCTGTTTTATTTTTGTCTGTGTCTCGTCCTCGATGGGTTTGGAGTCCTCTTTTCTGTCCTTAACATCCGTGTTGCCTGCGTGAAGAAGTAAACACATAATATTGACACTGCCAGGATTCTTTCCTACATTGATTTTCTTTTTCTGTGCGTAATTTGAGGATTAACTCCGTCCCGGTGCTTAAATGTACGCTGACAAACCAATAAAGCGTGCCCTCACATCCCTCAGATATCACACAACGATCAGACCACGGATGTTTTGTCGAGCTACATAAAGCTCTTTAATAATTAACCGCTTATAAATATGTAAGGCTGTGTCCATGCATGGTGCCTCATAACCGCTCTTCTCGTTTCCAAAACACACCGCCTTTTTTAATAGTCTTGAAAATAGTGTATTTTTTACGCACATAATGTTACACACTGGGACATGTGAACCAAGTGGTTATTAAATAATTAAAATAGGCTTATATATAAATATTTAAAAGGCCAATTTAATAATAAACCCCTGTCTTGGAAAAATACACCTTTACCAATCTGTTCCAATTTGAATATTTCTTATATTACAGGCCTTTATAGCCTATGATAATTTTACAGTTAAAAATATAATTGCTTTTGTACAGTGTATTATTCATAATTGTATTCGTCCATGCATGTCACGCGCTGCACACATGAGCAGTTTACTGTTTGTGTGTGTCAAATCGCGCGCGAGATTATCGTCTGACCTCAAAATCACCAACAAATAATTTAATTTTAAAATAAAAGCATAATACAATAAATGCTCTGTTTTGATAAGGCTGCAATTATCGGCATAATGAGTAAGCAGAAGATGCAAAAGAGGCTGGAAATTGGATTCAAATCGCGAGTTTGCCAAAAGTGATAACAATAAGGCCACAAGACATAACACTTAAAATGTGTTAATTAATGGGGATACGCATTGTTTTGTTTATTCAACAATATTTACAATTTTCATGACAGAAAACTTGTTTGATAGGGCACACACACACTCACACGCCAATATAAAGGTCTGATTCTGTAGCTCTGCTCTGCCCGTTATCAAAGCGTGCATAATATCCTCCTTACCGTCAATGAGTTTAGGGCTCGCCGTGTCCCTGATTCTTTCTTGCCCGAGCATTTCCGTTTCTCTTCCTGGTGAGAGTGCGACGTTTCGGTTGACTACTGCTCCAAGCGCTTCTTCTCGACTCCCGGGCTCAAGTGTTAAAGACTCCCTGCTCCCTGCCCGCGCCGAGCCGGTCTCCAGCACCTCCCTGTACGTGATCACCTCCTTCTTTTCCTTCACTTTCTGATCGAAAGACTTGGACACAAACGCGGTGAGCTCTTCCATCACTGCTTTCCCTCCTCGTTAGAAAGAAGACGCACTCACCACTCCTCGAAAGCCTTAAGACATCAATAGTGTGGTGGTTTTTAAGTCGACCCTTTAGAAATGATGCGCGGAGCTGAGGTGATGCTGCTGCCAACTCATGGGATAGGTAAAACACATGGAAAGCACAATCTTTTGAGACAACTCCCCTTCCTTCGGATGCGGAGTTTGAAACCTGCTGGTGAACCTCTATTGAAGTCACAGTATTTATACTTTTCGGTGCCTTGCCCCCTTGATCCGTGCAAATTACCTCCCCTCAGGATGCCGGGATGAGCCCCCCTTCCCCTCCGCTGATAGGAGTGAGAGAGGAACAGAGAGAGGAGAGAGAGAGCTTTAAACAAGCTACGCCGCGTCGCAGCTATTGGTCATTAATCCGAGATTGACAAGAGGGACTAATTAATTGAATTAAGCGCTCATTCACTGCTATTGTCCTAAGTTAGTTTTCCAAACACCCGAGAGATGGCCATGGATCCTTGTTTTTTCTTCACTTCAACGTCTTACTCTGCAGGGGTGGGGCTTGAAATTGGAAAATGCCACGAAAGGGGAGCACACATGTTTTGAAGAGTGCTTCCTCAGTATCTGTCTGTGATCCAGGGGGTAAAGGAAGACACCGGGCGATCGGATGCACCGGCTATGAGAGACTCTGCAGCCGCGCATCTTCGGGAACTATCCACGCAGCGGGTCTGCGTATGACTTCACTCCCACTCGTGCATGACGTGGGCATTTGGATTAGAGCTGTTTACATAAACTATTTAAATAATTTGCATGCCAAAAAACTGAAATAAATTCAAGCACTGTCTGTAAACTGCCTTCCGGGAGGCCAAGGGTATAACTTGAGAAAGCAGAGTTACTATAGGCTTAAAAAAAAGAATAAATACACTATGAATATATGTTAATAATATCAATAATGTTATTGTAACTGGGTTTTTGTGATTATGAGTTGTTGTTATTAAATGATGCTTAAGAAACAGTTTTCTTTCTGTTTTTGCTAAATCTACATTTTGTGTGGCCTACTAAAGCTCACCAAAGATTCAACAATTATATGGTTCTAAAAGCCATAACTATATCTACAGTTGTGTTATCTAAATGCATATAGGCATCAAAAGGTCATTGGTATAAACATAATGTATATTGTTGGCCATATATTTGATGACAAATTAATAGGCTGATGTCCCACCACTTCTGACATTTAGAGTCTATCACCTAAGCTGTGAAATAAATAATTACCTTGAAGAATATGATTCACATGAGCCTCAAGGTTTGGAGTGGATCTTACACCATATTAATTTCCATGGTCTCCACTAGAACCTTATTTCAGACCACAACATATAGCTAAAGCTATGCCAAAGTATATATAAAAAATGATATAATACATTTTCATGAATGAAATTAATATTTACATACAAATTTGATATAGAGGCCTATAGACTGCTTAATTATGAGGCCTACTGTAAACTGTTTAATTGTGAGACCTAGACTGTTTAATTGTTAAGCCCCAGGGACGTGGCTAGACCGATTTCACTGGAGCACAAGCTCAATCATAAATCAGTTGTGCCCCAGTGTGGAAAACAGCAGTCCAGGAAAGTGCCAAGAGCTGTTCCATGACACGGGACACTATATTTTACAATTATTCTACTAAAAACATAATTTATATTAGATCTAATAGCACAATGCATTTCTGTATTAAACATCCAGGAAAATAATAATTGTATAATTATAAAATAATAATAATTAATAATTGTCTTTTTTGATTCAAACGATTACAGTCTACATTGTATATCAGTGGGTCACTGAGCTTTAGGCTGATTTCCCACCACTTCTGACGTTCACTGTTATACTGGAAAAACCCCATTTGGTAATCCCCATGGTCAATGTCACAGGAGTTGGACACAACTCATAAGAAGTACATGTTAATAAAACTAATCAGATTAGTTTTTATAACAACCTGACATGGGGCAGCAGCATTTGTATGTAATTCTAAAATACAGCCAATTCAATTGCTTCTATGTTGTGCAGAATCTAACTTTAACATAACGTGTATAATAAACTAAAGACTATGGCTAAGAATGGCTAAAGGTCTCGTCTTACTATTTACAGTCTAGACATCGTCACGTCCCTGAGGCCTAACCTGAAGGTAGTTGGATCGATTGCTCTGTGTCTGCCTGTAACGCCTGGAATCCTGAAATAGACTCCATCCGTGTTTCTCGCTCGACTATTGCAGGGAGCATGCCGAGTTCAGTGTTTGGATCTGTAATGATAACAGTGAAGCTTTAAAGAAGGTGAGCACCCGTATTTTATTATTGTTGATACGAAATATGATGGTTTAAGCTTCCAGCGTAAGATTGCTATTGTTTAAAGGGAAGTACTAAACGGCAGCAGGTGCAAATGTGTGTTTTCTAGTTAGCATCCTTTAGCCACCATGCTAGTAGCAACTGGTCAGCTACCATGTAACTAGGCTTCATATTTCTGTTTAATTGGCTGTCTAACGGAAAAGACTCGTACTACGGACGTAATAAACAATATTTATATTTCAACTTGAATGGCACATAATAATTGCTCATCTTGATCAGCTTATAGCCTCACACAGGGTTGCCATAACAGCATGGGTCGCCGCTCCTCTGACAGTGAGGATGACAGTCGGAGCAAACGGAGGAAAAAACAGCGTCATCGATCATCTTCATCTTCATCTTCATCCTCCTCCCGCAAGAAAGTGAGCAGCCGGAGCCAACGGTCCCGTAGGAGCCGGGACAGGGACAGGGACAAGAGGTGAGATGCGCATTCTTTAATGCCATTGTTTTGATGTAGTTAGTTTGATAACAATTCATCAGCAGTCATGATTTTTTCAAAATATATTAGTGACATGTTAGTACCATATGAACTAGCCCGGACTCTGAGGAGCACAGGGACTGGACTCCTGTTAGTGCCCAGAGTCAGGACTAAACATGGGGAGGCTGCTTTTCAGATTCATGCTGCTAAAATCTGGAACAGTCTTCCTGAAGATGTGAGACAGGCCTCCTCTCTGACAATGTTTAAAACCAGGTTAAAGACGGTTCTGTTTAGCTGTGCATACAACTGAGGGATTGTATAATTTTATCTTTCTTTTTAATGTTCTGTGATTATTTATGATTTTAACGCTGTCTTATTTTGTTCATCACTTTGAGTTGCCTTGTGTATGAATTGTGCTATACAAATAAACTTGCCTTGCCTTGCCTTAAACGAATGGATTTTAAGGATCCTGCTACTACAAACCTAACCCCAATTTTAAAACAAAATACAATAATTGGAAGCATGAAAACAACATTTTACACTAACTAATGTTTCTGGTGTTGAGGAATGTATGGTTTGACCTAACCTAAATTCTCTGAAAACATTGTGTTTTTTAAATTAGGAAAATAGAACAGTATATTTAACCTCCGCATTTATGTTTTGCTCTGCCTCTGATATTTCTACTGAAAAACATTGACCATGCCTGACATGCTAGAGTTTCTGTAACAAATCTTGTATAACACGTTACTGTACCCATATGGTTCTTTGTTATGACAGTAAATATGCTGCTCTCTAAGATAATTACACATTCTCAAAGAAAGTATTTTTTCCTGTTATTTGTAGTTCCACTATCTGCTTCAGCCTCATTGTATCTTCCACCCAGGCTGCTGTAGGGGTAGGCCTTGCATTTTTTAAAAATTATTATTATTCTTTTGTGGAGAGATTTACAGGACCATACATACACAGGAAGAGAGTGGAGGTATGATACTTTACAGGGGACTTGACAGCTATGTTCCCGCTTTGTTCAGATCCAAATCTTTTTAGTGTAGTTGTGCTTTTACCCTGAATTTATAATGAGTTTTAATCTCAAATGTCTTGGTGGTTTACAAGTGTGAACAGAGCCTAAAACTATGGGTTTAATCCACAACGTATTATTTAAACAAAAATATAATTGTTTATGAATGTTTAAACAGACCAAATAATAACCGTCCTTGTTGGTTAAAGAAGGCTTATAATCTTCTGTGTGTTGTATAGAGATAGCAATAGTGATAACCAAGCCTATAATGCATACATTATTGCATGCGTATTACATTGTTAGTAATATGTTCTTCTAGAAGTTGTTTTTAAAATGTTTGTACAAATCTTGTCCTTGAAGAAGAGGTACTAAAGGAAATAAATACTCATTAACATTCACATACGTCCTGCTGTACACAACAAAACAAGTGATGTTCATGCTTCAAAAGGCCCCTGTGGAGGAGCTGTGGAGCATCCTGCTATATTCTATGGCTTTGTGCATATTCAAATGGTAAATTGCATTAAGTTGTAGTCTTATTTAAACCATAATTAGAAATGTTCAGTTATAGTGTGGTTGGAGAGATTATTCTGGGTATTCATTGAAATCATGCAACATCATGCCCTTCTCCTTTGGTGTTGCAGACGGAGAAGGCGCTCCAGCAGCAGTTCATCTCACAGTTCATCGCGTAAGAGGCGGAGTCGCAGTGCAGACAGGGATAAAGGAAGAAGCCATCGGTCACACCGGTCACGCAGTCGAGACAGAAGGTATAACGTGCATGCTTGTTTCTTTGCCTTCAAGCTCAAACACTTTACTTTTCTGTTTTATGATGCCTTTTTGGGTTAAAATGCAATAATAATAAAAAGATACAGTATGTTTTCATTTTGAATTAGAAAAGCACTTGTACCCCTTCCAAGAATATAGTTCCATTCCTAAGAAATTTTTGGATCAAGACAGTGATCTGGGTACCATATCCTTCTCCTGATATCTTACTGATTTATTTGGAGAGTTTCAGGCTTGTGTGCACTTCGGAAAGGGATCAGCAGTGAGCCAGTGAAAGTGGTTTGAAAAGTCACAAAAGTTCTTTCACACAGGGAAAACAGAAACATGTGTGTTCATAACTAGGCACCACACTCCTCCTCTGCACGTAGCGCTGTAGCGGCATTAGGTTTGAGCAACATAATTTGATAACGTGACCCTGCAGTTACGTCTCTGCTGGGGTGGACAAGGACAGAAACAGCCAGTCTTGCGTGATATTGTGATATTTCAGACGATTACATGAACAATAAATTATATATAAGTATATGTGTATATATATATATATATATATATATATATATATAGGTGCCATCAAAGAATTTAAATTATTTGATTGCATTAAAATCATAGTTAAATAGTCTAAATTCCCCTTGATTTTGTTTGAAAAGGGATTGGACAAAGCAAAAAGCTTATTAATCCATTCCCCTCCAAAAAGAAAGTATTTGGATTGTCTAATATAGGCTATTCAATCTCTGAATGCTTTTATTATTGCTTTTTACAGTGTATAGATCTGTTTAACATAGTATAAATGACTTCAACTGTCTATTATAGGCTACTTTTTGTTTGTTTATGTTTTCATTCAAGTCAGTTTAGGTTTTTACAGTGTATATGACTGTAATGCACAGTGGCAATAACTCCAGCGGTAACCTTGATATTTGTGATGGATGTCCAGTAATCTGCAGTGAGTGTGCCTGCTTTTGTTTTCTCATGCTTACTGTACCTTACTTCCCCGACACAGTGCATGCTTACTGCAGCTGCGCGTGTTGGTGCTGCGGCTGTTTTCAGATACGTGCCTGTGGTAGATGCGGCTGCTGAAGTGCAGCCGCTAGAGGACATCATGACTGAAAATTTTTCAATTATCTATTGGGAAAACAATCTATTTACGCAATTTCTGATAACGTTTCATAATGCCAACTAGTTTGTTTGAGTCTTTAAGATCCCATTACATGACATTTGCGTTGGCGTCTGTGTATACAGTAGTTAACGATTATGCCAATACTAAAATTGTTTTATCTTGATTATTGAAAATGCTTGTTATATTGAGATTGATTGTTGCAGCTCACATGCAAATTTTAAATTTCAATTGGACCTCTTTAATCATAAAATGCCACTTAGGTATTTTTTGATCCCATCAAGGTCAATAAGTTTTGGTAAATAAGGAAGTGGGGAGAAGATGATGAGTTCATGAATTTGGAGGCAGCCATAATGCAGAAGGTATGTGCTCATTAGCATTACTAATCTGGTGTTAATGGATTTGTAAACTACTAAGTCCCTCTCTTGTAAACATGTACAACACCAACAGTGAAGAAAAGGGTTAAAATATGCACACGCAAGATCCGTTGTTTACTCGCACGACTGCAGAGAGGTGTAGATATCTTGTTAATCACTAAGGATAATGGGTAAAATCCTCATTAGAAGGATGAAAACCACTATGATTCATAAATCCTTAACACCTATAATATGTTTAAACAGTTTCATGTTGTGTAGCACACAACTGGTTTATTTTGAACATTTGCATCCATAGTTGTTTCATGCTTTCTGCCTACTCTCAGCGGTATATTTGTTCACTGCAACCGTGATGAAAACATTTCTGGCATTGCTGATGTGGTGTAAGATGAAAGGTGGAAGGGATTTGGAAGATTTAGGAGTACAGTGGATGGATGACATTGGTGTTTACGAATGCTGCTCTGTGATTAGCGGGGCTGCATTGTGTAATCGGCTTAGCTTTAAGAAATGAGCAGGTGGGTTTGCGTCTGCAGATTTCCATGAGGCTGTGATTGTGGGTTGTGAGGTGGAATAAAGTGTTAAGTGATGCACTAAATCTGACATTAGCTATTTAGATTGTGTTATTGTGAAGTGCTAAGACAAAGGCATTTTATCTGTAGCATTTAGATACTATATTCATGCAGCATTTTTATTTATTACCATTACATGCAATGAACTTTATTGACCTATAAAATACATCGAAAACAACAATGTAAGATAATAATGATAGTGCTATTTTCAGTACTTATTACTGTGCTAACACAGAAGTATATTTTCTTTATTGTAACTTACACTTACATTTAAATGGCTACATCACAAAAAAGTTCCGCACCACTTTTATTTAGAGTGGTTCCAACATTTCAGCAGGTAGCTCTTTGTCAATCAAAAACTGCCTAATTTTTGCCTAGCTGCTAAAGCGTTGCCAGTTTTCCACCACTATTCATAAAATCACCTTAGTATGTTTTTTTCTTCTTCAAATGATAGCATTACTCATTAATTCTCATCTGTCTGAGCAATTGATGTGCAAAGCATTCATTTCACACAATTTAAATGACAATAAAGAACATTAATTTTACAACTCGAGCAAATCTTAAATTTGGCACAAATGGGAGAGTGTTAGTGCTGTCTCTGGCCCAGCTGGACTTGTTGTGAGGAAGACTGGGGTGTGCTGCGTAGCTATGCCCTTAAAGCTATTAGTCAGCGATGTGTGAATGAGGCCAAGGGAGCGAGCAGAGAGGCAAGCTGATGGATCAAAGGAGGATTGAGTGGACAGGACTTCATGATTGATACACAGTAAGGATATGAAGTGCTGCGTGCCACCACCATCCCCATCACACTAACCCAGCCTCACCTCCAGAATATGAAAAGTGCAGTGAGGGAGAGCAAGACGGGGCACCCTGACCACTCGGAAGAAAGAACAAGACAACAGTTACAGGTGGATCGAAGTGCAAGATGTGGATGTGATGAGCTGGTGCAAGCGGAGCTGGTGGCGCAGACAAAGACTGAAAGGAAAAGTCTTGGAGAGGAAAGAGTTTCGCGAGCGGGAAGGCAAAATAAGTGGAATTATTCAAAAGAAAAGATGAGATTACATTCATCCTAAAACTGCACAAGTGCTTGATTGGAACCAAACTAGAACCCAGAAGGTTGACTGTGGATATTATTACCACGTTTTCAATCGTTCCTGTATAAATAAAAAAGAAATAGATGTCTTAAGTAAGAATAATGCTCCATCAGGTGTTTACCATTTATTGTTACTTCGTTCCCTTTTTTTTGCGCTTTCCACAGATCCAAATCAGAGTGTGTCCCCTAGAGGCAGTCAATCTTGCCCTGAAATGTAAAGCAGACAAGAGGAGCAGATTACCTATTTGCCATTAATGTTTATTCTCTTTGATGTGAGCAGGCATACCGGTCCGCATCGCTGTGTGTGTGCTCTCTTTAGTGCGCGCGCTGGCACCAAAGCATGTGTGGGGCCTGATTGAGCGCATGCGAGCGTTTGCAGTTTGTGCTCATGCATGGGGTGGCGGTGGGGGGGGGGGGGGGGCCCGCGGCTCAGTCCACTGGGGCAGAGCAGCGTTCAGTGATCTGAGGTGTTCCCAGTTCAACAAAGAGCGCTCATCACAGCCGGATCACAGACACGTCTTCAGGTGAGCGGCGAACAGTGCGCCGCAGCAGGGGTTAAGTGCGCGGGCTCAATCAGTCATCCTGTCAGCTTTTTGCTCTTTTAACAGGTAGCTATACAGGCAACATTGGAAGATATTAAAAGAACATGGGTAATTCCGTGATGGCTGTGAAGACTATGTAACCAGGTAGATGCCTATACCGCAGGGCATACACAAACCTTTTTTCTATTAATTTTTTAGCAACATGTTGAGTTAGTAGGGCACAGTGCTAGCGTCAGGTCCCAGCTATCGGCCTTGGATACACTGATTTCTCACAATGCTTTAACTCAATAGACTCTCTTTATAAGGCAAACATATCATGGCCCCTGTCTCTCATACCAAAAGTTATTGGTGACCTTTGTGTAATAGTTGCATCTAACTCCATGTGCTGTTTTTCCCAGTGTTCCCACTCATACATGTTTTGATAATTTCTTTTTAAGGAACAGATGCTCTTTTTTCTTCAAGTTGACTTGAGAGATAGACTATATTTTACGTATAATACATAAATATTAATTGATTATAAAACGTTTCCTAGAATATTTAGTAGTACTGCCGGCCTTCGTTGGAACAAATTCAAGATGGAGATCACCAAATGGTCATGTGAGGGAGGGACATGGTCTGGCATTTATTTCAGTTGGCAATTTTCTTCGAGTAGAATGTGTTGTCGTTTATCTGCTAGATGGCTTTTCACGGTGACACAGACTATGTGCAAGGTCATCCTGGAGGCCTGGGAACAGGAGGCTGAAAGGTCAGTGATGCTGCTCTATTCTGGAAAGGAGTGTTCACTGCACACTGTTGTTGTAAGTAAAGGGACCCTGCCTTGATGTTTCCTTGATAGGCAACCAGGTAAAATTAAGCTTTATTTGTGATGTTTGATAAAGGGAAATTAAAAAGCTAATCCAAACATATATTGACATACATTTTTATTGTAATACAATTCTAATTGGGGATACAGCAATTCAGCCTTTTCATGTCTTTCTATCAATATCTGCCGGTGCCCGATATGTTCAGATAGGGAAGGGAAAGATCTTTTATTTTATATTATTCTCTCACAAGTACTACAGAATGACAAGAGTAAGGCAAGACAAGGCAAGGCAAGGCAAGTTTATTTGTATAGCACAATTTATACACAAGACAACTCAAAGAGTACAGGTTGGAATCGTTTGGAACACTGTGCTTTGTTCTCCTAAAAAATCCATTGGCACTTTTTTACACCGGCCTTGTGCATCTGACACCTCATAGACTTTTTGCCAAGTTGTGTAAATCGGACCCAGGTTGCACTTTGTGCCATGGTGGCTCTGTTT